ATTTTTAATTTTAAAAGTATGTAAACCATCTTTCAGAGTAACAGCCGTGTTAGTCTGTATTCGCAAAAAGAAAAGGAGTACTTGTGGCACCTTAGAGACTAACCAATTTATTTGAGCATGAGCTTTCGTGAGCTACAGCTCACTTCATCGGATAGGTGCCACAAGTACTCCTTTTCTTTTTGTAAACCATCTGCAGCTCAACCTGCCAATTTTTGCTTTTCTTCTGCTTTCAGTTTTATTGCTGTTGATTCTGTTTTTGCTAGTGTCATGAATGTTTACTCAGATTTAGTGAGCAATTAAACAAGTAAAAAGTATGCGAAAGAGAACATTTGCGTATGCATAATGTATGATATTGTGTATTGGAAATTCCAGGAAGGCAAAATTGTTTCATTAATGTCAACTGTTGAGACAGTAGGAATTTTTAAACTTATTAAATGGGTAATTTGTTAATTAATTTAGACCTGAGGCTAACTATTAATCTCAGACCATCATCTTTATCCACTTAAAGTTTGTGTTTGCCATAATCTGTGCTGGTGTAAACAACTGTAGCTTGTGAGAAGTAAGTCAGTGAAAATTATGCCTGTTTACACCAAATTCTGATATAATTTAAAGTTCTGATCTTACTAACCAAATGGGAACACTATATATCAAATCCGGTTTCAGGCTATAGCTGCAGGCTTAATCTTGAGAGTTGCTGAACACCTACAGTTGCCATTTAAATTAATGAGAATGTTGGGAACTGAGTACCTTTTGAGATTAGGTACTAATAAAGGCATGGTATGCTACCACAGGAGAACATCTAGAGAAAATATTTTTTCATTCCAGATCTTTAATATGACTATGAAGGGAAACCCCCTACTGATTGGGGCAACATTTACAAACAGTCGTTTTGGAGTCAGTCACTCTAATCCTCTTAAACACAATCCTCTTAAACAGCAGAGACAGTAAAAGTCTTTGGAAACAAATCAGTTTTAATAGCAGTAAACTGAAAAGAGACTCTAATACTTGGGAAACCTCTTTAGTTTTCAGTGATGATGTGCAATTTGTGAACAAGAAGGCAGTTGGTCCATCAGACAATATCTATATGAAGACACGTCTGTGTAAACAGTTGAGAAACCCAATACTATGTCTTACAGAAGATGCATGTTTAAAAACAGTGTACTGAAAAAACATACATTACCTCAACATTTCTCTTTTTCATGGGTAATATTGGCATGTTATTATGGGCAGGTTTCTTGACACTTTCTACTATAAAAGACCCTGTTTTGAGTTGCTTATTGCTTTGCCAAACTTCAGCTGTTTAGGCTGAAATTTTCCATGACAGGTGCATGCCTCGGACTGAATATTTGTGAAAAATTTAAGCCAAAATATTTTAGTCATTTCTGAGAATGAGGCTAGGAAAAAAATATGCTGTTTTGCCCACATGAAAAAGTTCTTAAGTCCCTTTCTTTTAACATCTGTAATACTGTCTGGATTTGGAACAGAGGCTTGAAACTTGACAAGTGGGTGGCCTTTGTGTCAGGAGTGTGCCTTTTGTCATCATTGTGAAAATGTGCCCCGATTTGGCCAAGTTGTAAGACTTTGAAAAAGTCAATTTGCACATGCATCATAGAGACTTGTGTCCATTTTAGCAGTTAAATCTCAGAAGACTGTCTTCTCTAAGCATACTTGAGCCTCTTTTAGTGCTGACCAGATTCTGCATGCGCCACCGCCCTACAGCTCTTACATGTAATGGGCCTGTGCATGTGGACAGGAACAAATCCAGACTTTCCCTCTTATGGCTGTTCCCAGCTGGTTTGGATCTGGGTAGAGCCAGACAGTGGAACTGAGAACAGGGAGCGTCTCTCTCCTCAGCTCTCACTGACTCAACCCTGGCACCCAGGTATCATGGAGAAGGAAGTTCTTTAATTCAGTTAATGAAGAAATAAAAGCCAGACTGTGGGGGAGGGGGAGGGGAAGGAATAGATGGAGACATGGAGAGCAGGAAAGAGAGAAACTGGGACTGAGAGCTGGGAGGAGGGGAGGGTAGGGCAAAGAGACTGAGACTAAGAACTAGTGGGTGGAGAATAGGGTTTGAGGAAGAGTAGACATCAGACAAGGAACTGGGGGAGAACTCTGAGTGGCTTCACAAAGAAAGTGGGACGAGGAGCCAGGCAGGCGAGGGGGGGGATTGGGACAAGGAGCTGAGGGAGGGAGGGGGTATGGCTCTAAGATTAGATGAGGAATGTGGAAAGGGAAGCAGCTCAGCAGTGGGGTGGAATCGGACGAGTAGTCAGGATGGGAGAACTGGAACTGTCTGGACAAGGACACTGGGGACAGGGAGTTGGGACTGGCTGGGCAAAGTTCATCCTGTGCACTAAATGAGGCAAGGGTCCCATGAAAAAAATAGTATGTAATCATGTAAGTAAAGACTGTATCATAATGTGCAGAGACGAGAAGGGAGCGGAAAATTGCGGTTGTATATGGAACCTTTAATTGTGGTATCTCCTAACTTGTGAGTGCTTGACCATGCAACCTTAATAACATTCTTTTAATGTAGTTTTTGTGGTAATTTCTGAAATTGTTCTAAATAAAAAATAATTATAACATCTGTTTGGGATTACCCATAGCTAAATTTGCAAAATTGATTTCCATTATTTTCTCCTCCCCATCTTCCTCCCAGCGTACACCAGGCCTCTGTGTTCAGAAGTGTTATCTTTTTCACACAGTAGTAGTACCTAACTGCTCCCCTTTGTTGCTTCACTATACATTTTACTTGTTTAGCTTGACAGGCACAGAGGTTGCTGCTGCAATAATTTGCATGAGAGAGATTTTAAATATCTTGTTCATTTGCACATGGATAAATCCTTCCGTAAAGCACTGCCTCTGCATCTGGGACAGTAGAAAATCATGGTGTAAAAAAAAAAAATTGCAGTACTTGTATAATTAATTCCAATTCTAAGTTGTTACATAAATAGACACAGTCAACTTTAAAATGATGCTTCTCCTTGAAAATTATATTACCTCACATACTACTAAGCAACACTGAAATATCAGAACTGAAAAATTGTAGAAAATGATATATTTCTCTTGTTTACTTTGGGCTTTTGACAATTTGTGTTTTGTCAATTTCACTTTATTGTCCAGATAGTCACTTATGCCTAATCTGCAAACACTTGCACGCACTCACTTGCATAAGAAAGAGATTTTGAACCCCTTACTCACACTGATGTGAGTAGCATTAATTATTCAGGGAAGTAACTCTACACCAGTGTAGTAAGAGTTAAAATTCAGGCCCTTTATTTTTGCAAGATCAAGCTGTTATGTTTGTTTTGGGCCTTTTAAAGAGCAGGGGAGAGAGCATTTTAAAAAAATAAGAAAATGTGATTGTAAACCACAAACGGGATTCTGGACCATGTGTAGTGTATGAAACTATTTTTCATTTAAAAAACTAAAAGTCTTTTTCATTCCCACAAAATACCCATCATATTATAAATCTAAACTTTTGCATTTTCTGAATTTTGTTCTGTTGCAAAGCCTGCCATACCGTTGCCTTAACATTTTTTCAATTAATTTCTTTTTAGTATATATTACCTCCAAAAATTTGAAACTGTAAAGTTACTGAGTTATCTGATACATTTTCTAATGCATTAGTTATAATCAAGGCACTAGTTGGCGTGGAGACATAATAAAATTATCCACTCATCACATATCCTTAAGTTTTGTTCCGTAGACATTTAGTATGGTCATGCAATGTTTTTAAAAGTAATATCAATTTACTTCCAATATTCAGTGCAAGTAACTTGTCTGTCCATGACAAACTTATGTTACCTACAGCATGGGTAGAAATAAAATAATTGAAAAGTTACTGAATTTAAAACTGAGGTTTTTGAATAACTAGGCAGGCTCTGTATTATGTGTTCATTTGCCATTCATGGCAGATCAGACTTGCGCTTGTGGCATCTTTTTATATCATTGTATGCTTTCAAAATAGTAATTGAGACCATTTCTGTCATAATCCACAATTCATAATCATCTGGACAATGGAACGGACACAATTAAATGAGAAAACCACAGTCTCATATTATATCTGTGTTGTATTTTATGTTACTCTGCAGTGGTGGTGAGTCAGATTATAAGAGGACAGAAATTATGTCCCTCCCCCTCTTAGAAGTTACACAAATGGCATTATTATGTGCTGTTGGTGTATCTGTGGGACCCCTGTATGGACCAAGATGCAGACTTCAGAAAAGAATTGTTTCAGTTAATTTCTTGTACTGCAAAAAATTTACTAAATAATCTACACAGTTGGCAGTCTACATTCTGGGGAGTCAAAAGGGAAGCAGGAGACTCAGTTACTTTTGATACACTAATAAATAGTCTTTCTATTTTAGAGCAGACATCTCTGGCAATGTGTTGCTTATGCTGTGTTTATCTGGTATATCATATGAATTTTATTTACTGTTTAATTACTGCAGCAATAATTTGTTTGCAGGAGGGATGCCAGAGAAAATTCTCTTCTCTTGCCCAGTGTCATCCCCCAAAAATGTTTTTCCTGGCTCTGAGTATTCAGTAGCATTCTATTTATAAAATACAGTTTTCCTTTCTTCTGTGTGTTTTCTGTAGTTCACATATTCAGCATATGATAAAGTGCCCAGTCCTGCAAACAGTTAGTACTAAGTGGGGCTCAGTATTATGAGAAGTCTCATTGAAATCCAGCAGTCACACCCAATACAGTTTGCAGCCCCACATTAGTCTGTCTACCTTGTTCTGCATCTCTGATACATTAACGTGACTTCTCCTTTCTTAGAAATCTCTGAGATAAATCAGTTTACAACAGGGATTTAGCTGCATTTCACTGATGCAAATTTTTACAAAAACCTATGAAAAAATATTTTAGAAGTTGCCAATGACTAATGTAAAGAAAAAGGAGTATTCCCTGCATGAGCAGCACTTCCTATCTTTTTTTTTTTACTTTGTAGATTCCTTAATTAACATGTAATTTCTAAAATCTTCCCTAGCTCGAAAAACAAAGAAGAAGATCAAAGGAATTCAGCAGTCCAATGTGACAGCAACGAGGGATGCTTCTGAAAGTCCAGTAAGCAAGAGTATAGTTCCTGCATCTCTGCCGCAGCTAACCCCTACCCTGGTTTCCCTGCTGGAAGTCATTGAGCCGGAAGTTCTGTATTCGGGCTACGACAGTACTCTACCTGACTCAACATGGCGTATAATGTCAACTCTCAACATGTTAGGAGGAAGGCAAGTGGTAGCTGCAGTAAAATGGGCAAAGGCAATACCAGGTAATACAGAGATGTTGTTTTGTAAAAGATGTCAGTTTTTGTCCCAAATTATAGTATTTTGTCTTTTACTTTGATGCTTTCCTTCCATACTTTTCTGAACTAACTCTTATTGATTAATGTCTTAGATAAATTATGTTTCAAATACCTATCAACAAAACAGACATAAAACAGACCCAAAATCTCTTTTTGATTTCTTTGATTACAATTTGAGGTTAAATTAGGTTGGACTCTTCAGTCCCTGTGAGATAAAATACACACACAACACAAATCTTTTTTAAAAACACTAACACAGAAAAAGAGAAGTGTTCCTGGGTCTGTTTCCACAGCAGTTTTGAATGCAGTGCTTCGTTATTAATTTTTAGCAAGAGGGTTCCCATGATTCAGGGAGCAACCCATCTGATCCCCTTCTCCTTAACGGAATTGTCCTGTATCTTTTTGTCTCCAGAGCTACTTTGTCCTCACGCTTCCTCCACTCTGCCCATCCTTCCTACCTGAATGGGAACAGTCATTGCCATCTCTAATCCCAGGCCAGGAGTAAAGCCTGATATTCCATTTTGTTCAGGCACCATAGCTGCTTCCACAAAATTGGGTGTGTTACATGGGACTTTTAAAGGAGAATTGCCAATATGCCTCCCATTTGTAAGTCAGTAAGGATGTTGCATTTACAGCTTGCTTTGGCTTTCTTTCACGTCAGGAAACAGGTAGCTAAAATGAGTCCTCAAGTTCTGACATCATGCATAGCATCCTATTGCATGGTCCTCAGACAGACTGAAATGTGGTGCCGTTGAGCATCTGGGAGAGCTATAAACAGGAAAACTGTCACACCTGCTTCTGCTGTGTTTGGCTCTAGCCAGTGCTATTAGCCACCTGTTTCCATAAATAAATCTAAAGGGTGACATACAATGTACACATAAGTAAAGATGTAACGTAACTTGCCCTCTAATTTTACATGATGGTCTCACCTTTTTTTGAAAATAAACCTATTTGGAGTTACAAGGAAAGACTAGATTCAAACATTTATGCTGGAATAGGGAGATTGAAACGTCCTTTCTGGCTTGTCTACGCTGGGAAAATAATTTGAATAAAGTAAAGGTGTGAAGTTAGCATAACAAAACTGTTGGGTGGATGCTATCTAGTCTGGGATAAAAGTGACTTTATTCCAGGATAAACACTTTGCTTTGGAAGCACACTTTTTATTCTGAATTAGTGTGTCCACATGAGGAACTGTTCTAGTTAATTTCCCCCGGTAGACAAGCTCTTAGTCTTACAGAAGATGATACTCCTTGAAAGGCCACTCTCTTAATTTAATAATAATAATATTATTACTGGTAACTGTTCTGATCATAACAGGACTTTTTGTCTTCCTTTTCTTGATCAATCTATCACTAAAGCTTTTCTTCACAACAGTCTTTCATTTTACTGTGTTTACTTACTTTGATTTCTGGCACCCCTGCAGAAATCATAGTAGTCCTCCATTTGGGATATCACAGTTAGTTGCTGTGGAAATGTTTATGATATCCAGAGGACTAGTGTCTCAGGTGGGAAATAACCAATGCAAGCAGATGGAACTGATAAGGAACAAAGATCATTTTGTTAGCCCTAGTATCGTTAGTTAACAATAAAGAACGATGAAATAAATGTATGGAAAATAAAATGAGCTGTATCCTGAAGTTTTTACTTCAGAGGAGTTTTGACTGAGCAATGTTTGAGTAAGGACCTCGAGGTTTGACCCAATAGTTCTGAAATGAGTTCTAAACAGTATTACTAAGTCTTAAAAGTAGCAATATGGAGGGGGGGTTTCCTACCTTCAAAGCTGCTAGCCTTTATTTTGGAGTAGACCAGATTGAGAGGCTATATAATTTGGGCATATTAATTCACCAGATATTATCATTTTAAACATCTTAAGGAAATAGCACTGAAGTGACCTTTTTGGGATGTCAAGTATCTGATGATATTAAATAAAGTGAACTTGAGTCTAAATTTTAATAAGGACTCGGTGTGGCAGAAAATCTTGTTAAAAGCAGCCAGGGCTTGATATGAGCTACCACTGTAGATTAAAAGCTGTCTACATTTTAAATCTGCTCAGGGGAGCAATTTTAAGATATAACACATTTCTTCATTATTTTTGTTGGCCCTATTCATTCTGTATGTTGCTATAATGTTACAGGCAGTTAGTGACAATGAGTAACATGGTACATATTCTGTGATTTGTGACTACTGTGTAAAACTACTGTTGAATAAAAGTTTAAAATAAAGCCAGTGGACTTCAGTCTGAAGTTACTGTAATATTTACACAAGACACTTGAACCAGTTTTGTCTGGTTATGAGGAAATACATTAACTTAATTAATCACTTGTAGGATATTTTTCATTCACCTTCATTTCCAATTACATGGAAAAATAACATTTTCTGAACTTTTAATATTACACTCCCTTCTGATTTCTGTAGTAGTTTTCAAGCGATCTCCGAGTGACACATACTCTTCCAGGAGGAAACAATCACCTGGAGGTTAGGGGTGGAGTGTGTATATGTACTCAGGAATAATATATAATATTTTTTAAAATTAAGGTATAAATGTTATCTTTTCTGCTACTTATCCTTTTCAGTACATTTCTGTATTCTGTGTAATTAAAACTGCGGAAGGCCACAAATTCAAACCAGCTCAAGAATTTAGTTATGTTAAAGACTTCCAAAGTCCGAAGACTGGCAAAGAGATTGTGACTATAACCACATTAAGCTGGGTCCTGTGGGTGGGTACTGTTTAGTCTGCATAGGCAAAAAATTTTGTAGACTAATAAAAGATACATTACAGTCGTATGCTAAGCAGCTGAATGTAATCTTGGTAACTTTAAAATTATGCTGAAGTTTTGTATATTACTTTGATCAACAGCAAGAATTTGCAGGTAAGAGATGCACTGTTAGTTTTTCTAATCTCACGTCTTCATCTTCCCTACCACCACAAGTGCAGTCTGTTCTTTCTCAGCATACAGATGCACTTTTAGTTAGATCAGATTATTTAGCATCTAACAACATAAAATACAGAAGTACTTGATTATATCTGTTCATTGCAGTTCAACACACAATTTTGATGTCTTCAAGTCTACATGCACCACTGCAACTAAAGAAAATAATATGAAACACATTTTAAAATACTGCTGTGTATTAATAACACTTTTATTTGTACTGATGATTTGTTTGATAGATTTGAAAAGGAGCATTTCCTAAGCGTTACTTGTTCACTGCCTATACTGTTATATTTTGTATTTTTTAGGTTTCCGAAATTTACATTTGGATGACCAAATGACCCTTCTGCAGTACTCATGGATGTTCCTGATGGCTTTTGCTCTAGGATGGAGATCATATAAACAGTCAAATGGAAACCTGCTGTGTTTTGCACCAGATCTGATTATTAATGAGTAAGTAGTGTATGAGTCATTTTCCCCATATGCCAGAGCTGTATTAAACTCCCTGAAACATTTTTCTGCCATAAGTATTTTTTATAGAGAGTAAATCCTACTAATGTATGTCACTGGGTAACAAAGTTGTGCAAAGAATCACTGTACTGACATTTTGCCTGCAAAATCAGTTTCCTTTTAGCACATGATATGTATTCTTTTAAATAAGTCAAATGAACTAATGGTCTTTTAGAACTAGCTGAAAGTTTGTGTTTCTGTCTAGAGTGGGGGGGAGGATTGATGGGTGGATGGATTCTATTTTGTTGATGCAGCTGCATCATTCATTACAATAATTAGTTCTAAAGGTTCAGGAAAAAATGATGCTAACAGGATATTTCTGTTAAAATTCTTTGTCAAAAAAAGAAGACTGGCAAATGGAATAAACTCCTAAACAATAATACTATCATTGTCACTGAACTGATCAGTTAAATCAGTTGGTGGCATTTATGGTACTGTTGATCTAGCTGCTGGTATATAGTTAAAATGTTTGCATAATTTGAACCCATAAAAAAAATTTTTACAAAACACAATTTAAAGAATTGTGTAGCTAACTAATTATGCTTCTGTGTCACCCTTATTCTACAAGTAGATTGCTGTTTGTAATTCCACAGCTGTTCTGTTTTGAACTCCCTAATAGGAATCTACTGTAAAACTGCAGATTGCAGAAAGTCAAAGTTTATAGACAAATCTTGTGCCCAGGATAATGCTCTTTTCTAACCAGTTTTATCCATTTTCAGGAAACACTCGTTGTTCTTATTGTGCAATTTTTTTGAGTAATTTGCTAGAGCATTAGGACTTTTTTTCTCTTGTACTTATGGGGCCTTATACTTTTCTGATTGCTTTACTGTAAATTTTGAGCAAATCCAGTTAAGACAGTGGAGTTACATTAGCATATAACATTGGTCTAGAAGAGAATCAGGCCCATACCTTATATAATATAAGTATAACATTAGGCTTTACGTCTAACCTAGTTCTAACTTTTTTAGTTTTTGATATTTTGATGATAAAATGCAGAACAATTTTTGTAGCTTTAAAATCAGATTTGGGTATACACACTAGCCTTATTTCAGAACAAAGGTATCTGTTCTGTGGTTACGTGTTTTCAAAAGACTTTCTCTTTGTAACAGTTCCTACAAGTTTTCTAGTTCACTGTAGAACCACTCAAACTCAAATAAGACTTCAGCTTCTTGGTGTGTCTAAACATACTTGATTTTTGCTTTTTTTCAGTGTTTAGTTTGAATACAGATAAGTTGTCTTGCAAAGTGTGGCACATTGTTTTAATTTTTTTAAAAGGGGTTAAAAAATCAAGCCATTCACTGAAAGTCCATAATCATAGAAGGAGAAGAAAATAGTTGGGCAGGTTAATGGGGAAAAAATATATAAAACACATTAGTTACTCAACAGATTAGCATGGCTTCAAGGTAGGCTGGTCAGTCAAGTAAATCAGTTTATCTAACATAATATTTATGTATTTTAAATACTTATGTATATTAATATTTTCATCTTAATGGTTCTAGAGAGAAGCACAAAGGGATTTAAATCACAAAACCAAAACAATTTCCAAAATATACTGTTTGAAGGCTGGGCCAGAAACTATTAGGAAGGCATGACAATGGTCTGACAGATATCCGTTCTGCTCTTTTACATTTGTGAACCCTTTTATCCTAATAAGTTGAGTACTAAAGGTTTCTGCCCCGAAAGAATTTAATTAAGTTCTTGCTTGCCTCTGCCACATCAGCTTAATCTTCCCCTGAGTAAGGGGTGTTATATCTCAGATATTACGGTGAGAGAATGCCATGTAAGTATCTAACAGATGTAGGGTGACGAGATAGCAAGTGTGAAAAATTGGGACAAGGGTTGGAGGGTAATAAGAGCCCATATTTAAAAAAAGCCCCAAATATTGCTACTGTCCCTATAAAATCGGGAATCTGGTCACCCTAAACAGATGAATAGTAACTATGATAAATAGTGTTTGATTAGCACTGTGTACCTTCAAACACTAATTCTCCCATCCTCTCTTTTTAGATAAGTAACATAACAGGGGTAGAGCCTTTTTTCTATACGAAACACAATTTTGTGCATCGATGTCAAACTGTGTTGTTGTATTTAGTTTTAAATAAAACATTCTGAGGGTAGGTGCTCTACTGAATTGTTGGACTCTTCTGAAGGTAAGATTTTTAAATATTTACATTTTTTTAGTTTTTTAACCCTTTCATATGGATTTGAGTCTCGTTGGATTAGTGAACTTGGGGGCTGGGGAAGAGGAGGTTGTTTGTGTTTGATAGAAAAGCTAAAGCAGAAACAGGGAGGCTGATTTAAGAAATTGTGTGGTGCTGCCCATTCATTTGAGTTGATTAAAACCAATATATGACTGATGTATATGTGGTATTTCTGACACCATTTGATTGCTTGTAAACATAATGCCAAAATATTCAGAAGTTACAGGGCAATTTGTAACTTGCTTGCAAGGCTGATAGATCACTGCTCTATGCCTTCTTTCTACTTTAGATGGATCTCATTGGAACCATCTCCTTTAGCTCACTTTTAAAACCTATTTCTTCTATGGAATAGAAATGGTCAAAATACTCTACAATAGTTATTTCAGGTAAACTTCCATTGTGGCAGCTCTGATGATACTAGTAGAGGTCTCAGGCATTCTTACCATCATGTTGTCTAAACCTGTCCAAAATTAACCGGAGGCACTGGAGGCAGGATATGTATTTTGTTCACTAGCCAGGGAGAAAACAAATTAGAGAATTCCTAATGCAGCATATTAGCACCTAATTTGATTGTCACTTTCTCTGTTGTATTCCCAAACAAGAAAACAATAAGCTTTTAGAGCCTGATTTTTGGAAGTAGCGAGCACCCCCAACTTCAGTTCAAGGCAAGAAGAGCTGCAGGTGCTCATTACTTTTGAAAATTAGGCCCTTATGCACATGGATTTCAGAGGTGACATCACTATGCTAAAATAATGCCCAGGATGAATGTGAAGTCAAGATGAGCCAATCATATAATAAAAACATCTGATCTTAGCTGTTTAAACTAATGACTCTGAGGATGAATGATCAGGGGCACTAATTTATTTGCTAGCTTGCTGTTTCCAGTGTGCACTGTTACTTTTTATAGATTACAGTATGACTGCTTGTTGGTTGCTTTTGAGCATAAAAATATTTGTCTATCAGGACAAGAAAATAACTTAAATGTGCGCTATAGCTTTCCTTTTATTAGTCACTTCAGCTTCTTTATTGCTTTTGTGCTTCTTTACTGGTTTTGTCTTCTTGTGGTTTTTACTCGTTACAATATATTTTGTGACGTTTTAATTAAAAGTCTCTTGACTCACTTGATTGTTTGAAGCAGTCTGTAAATAAATTCTTTGAGGTTGCTGGCCAGAACAGTCCAAGATTCAGTTTAACCACCCGCAGACTTAAAGTAAATGTGAGGTTTACTATGAAAAATGTGAAATTGGCTTCTCTTTTATTCATGAACTCAAACATCATCCCCTTTGTGGCATGCAGACTATGAAATATTGGTACATTCAGGGCACTCAAAATACAGTGCCACTAAGCTTTTTTTATCATTATCACAATTTTAATGGCAATGTTTTGTAAATGGCTGAAAATGCCAGTGAAGCTATGAAGGTCAGTATGGTTTTGCTGATTTGTATTTACTCTAATTTCTAAGTTTTGATTTCTAATTCTGGCTTTACAATTGGACTTTGTGTCCATTGCATAAGAGGTTGTGCTGCTTTACAGGGTTAAAGCCACCCTGTACTGGGAGTCAGAAAATCTGGATCCTCATCCAGATTGTGCCATACATTTGCTGTATAGCCTTGAACAAAACACTTAAGACCAGATCCTGCACCATTATAGCACTGTGGCTTTTGATGTCCCTGTGAGCAGAAGTGGCTTCTTAAACCGTGCCTCAATTTCCCCATATTTAAAATGGGTATGATATCCACCTCACTGGGGTGTTTTGAGACTTATGTAGTGCAGTACTTTGAGATCCTTGGAGAGAAGGCACTGTAGAAGCAGAAAATATGACATTGTTAAAGAATTTCTCTCCAGTCTTGTCTTAGTTTGCTGACAGGAGCCAGTAATACCTTTTATTTTCTATATGATTGGCCATTTGTGTTTCAAATATCTTTTCACGTGCACATTCCATTTCATTTTTTGGTGTAAATATTTGTCTTGCCCTTTGTAAACCTTTTATTGTTCTTTTTAGTAATTATGTTGTAAAAGCCTTGGGTTTTGCCATTCTCACTTTGTTTATATATTAAAATATGTTGAATATGTCTTTGTTGAATAGCTGCAACCTTCAAGTGGTTGATTATTCTGATACTACTGTTCATGGGATTAACACCATCTAATTTCCGAAACTGGTGCACAAAATGCTTTACCTCTGAAAGCTTCTGTTGTTTAATATAGTGCTGTAAATATGAATAAAGCTTTACAGATAAGACAGTGTGACTCCAAGGAGCGTACATTCTGAGCGATAAATTATTAACTATGGTTAATTCTCAGATATAACTAATTTATTTCCATAATTTAGTTACAATCTTGAAATATTGTTTGAATATACAACTTCATTAATTTTGAGTAAAGCACGTACACTGAGAGATGAAATTAGCGTGGGGATAGTGGCATTGTATGTAAAATTAGATTGGCACTTTCTTTCTAACGTCTTATTTTCAGTGTTACATATTCGCCAAAATTACCTTCCTGGCTGAAATTTCTCACATGTCACTTTTCAGTAAATGGTAGGCATTTCTGAGTGAAGCATGGCAACTATTGAATAGTGCACAAAAACAATACATAACTGCTGTAAGACAGGAAAAGAAGAATATCATATTCAACTGAGACTACAAGGATCACTTCGGGCATTGTAGGCAGAATATAATTACCAAAACTAGAGATTTTGGCAAGCACATTGACGTAATGTCCCTATACCTGCAAAAAATGCCT